CCTTTTCTGCCACTGCTATTAAGTCCCTAAGGTTCTTTTCTCCTAGTCTATTTAAAGACTGTAACTTTCTCTTGATGTTAGGGGCTGCCTGGTTAATGAAAGCAAACATCACAGTTTGAGCTGATTCCTCTGCTTCTGGGTCATACGGAGTGGACCACCGGAAGGTATCTTGTAACCTCTCTAAGTATGAGGCTGGGCTCTCTTCGGGCCCCTGTCTGACATCATAGACCTTAGACATATTGGTGGGTTTTCGAGCCGCCATTTTGAGACCCGCTAACAGAGTCTGGCGGTAGACCAGGAGCCTCTCCTTACCCTCTGCCGTGTTGTAGTCCCAGTTGGGATGGCTAGGGGGAAAGCTGTTATTAATGATGCCTGGGTCTGTGGTAGGGTCCCCAGTGGGGCCCGGAACCAATTTCCGGGCTGCCTCCAGGATCCTGTTTTGCTCCTCAGTAGTGAACAGGACACTCAGGAGCTGGTGGCAATCATCCCAGGTGGGCTGGTGAGTGAAGAGAACAGTTTCCAATAAGCTAATCAAATCCCTGGGGTTTTCAGAGAAAGGCGCATTCTGTGAGCGCCAATTGTAAAGATCACTGGTGGCAAAGGGCCAGTAATGAAAGGGCTGATTGCCCTCTCCAACCGGGGGCCCCGCTGGCCGGAGGGGGAGGACAATGGTGTCAAGCTGGGGGGCTGCCCCCTCCGGCTCCATGTGGCCTGCGCAGGTCCCTGTGGAGGCAATGGTGGCTCCTCAAGGTTAGGAGGTGGGGCCTGCACTTGTGGCACCATTGGCGGGGTGCCCATCTGAGAGGAGTAGGGCAGGGGGAAGATGTCATTCTCCTCTGTGCCTCCCGGGAGAATGGGTTTCTCTTCCAGCTTTGGTCTGAGAGGGAGGACCTCCAGAGGGGGAGGGGGAGCAGTTGGGTTAATTGGGAGAAGGAAGGACTTGACCCAGGCAGGGGGGGCATCGGTTCGTTCAATGAGGCCTTGCCAGGTCACGATTCATGGGATCTGGTCCTGGTGGCCCATCCGTGGGTGGAAGACATGGTCCTCTACCCTGGAAATCAAACTCAGGTTGAGTCCATCCAACATTGAAGGAGGGCCAATTAACTGAACATAAAGTTGTCCATTTCTTTTTCTTTGCATCTACACTATTGTTATGGGCAATCATCTTAACGTCTCCTCAGTGGACTAGTGTAAGATCTAGAGGGGAAGATGGGGTGTTACCCATAGTATTTATCAGTCCCGTCCGTTTCATCAACAAAGAAATTAAAATGAAGATCACAAGACACAAGAATGACACAGACAAACAGAGGGCCCAGAATAAACTACCGCAGCTTTCAGATGGTCTGGACTCTTGGCCGTGTGAGTTCCCTGGCTTGAGACCATATGGATAGGACTTGTGTGTCCCAACAGGGTTGTGAGGTCCTCTGAGGTTTCAGATGGACTAGTGTCCTGGTGGGGTGTCCGGTGAGGAACACCCACCCTGACGAGGATGGGGACATCTCCTGAATCCTCCAGGTCGCCTCACTAGTGTTTCAACGACAAAGAAAAACTGAGATCAGATGGCCGTGACCAAAGTGAAAGCATAGAGAAGACAGGTACACACACACACAGTTTTACAAAAACTTACTCGGCTGGTTGATCACAAACCTTTTGGGGTTGGTTCCTCTGGGGGGGGGGGGGTGTCTCTGGGGGGATCCCGACGAGCCCCCAAATGTTGTACCTCATCCACTGGACCCCAAAAAGACCACCGAGGACCCAACACACCAAAATACAAAAGAAAAGGTTTATGGTTTATTTGGGCCTAAGCTTGGGCTCTCAGACCTCACCAACTCAACGGATCCGTGCTAAGAGCCCAGAGTAAGGGAGAGTGGAGCCTTTTATAGGTTTTAGACAAAGAGAAGAGGGGGATACCGAAGATATATTTTGGTTGACTCTAGGAGCCCGCGCATGCCAACATAATTTTAAACTGATTGGATGTATAAGATGCAGCCCTGGAAGTTTCTTATTGGTAGGTGCTATTCTCAGGGCTGTGGAATGTGCTGACTGTTATCTGTGGGGCCAGGAGTCTCCGTTTTTACCTTATAGGGCAGTTTTCATGCCCGGGCTTGCTTAATCTATAGTTTCCTGGAGTGGGGGGAGTAGCAGGTGGGAGTCAGGGCATGCCACATGCCTAGGCATGTCTAAAGCAGCAGCCAAGCATTTTACAGAAGCTAAAAGAGTAATTAGTGGGGGTCTGGAGGGATGGAGGGATTGGGGGTAGTGGGTGAATGAAGAGGGTCTCAGGGTCCTACACCCCAAAGAAAAACAGCCAGTTTCTTAGTTAAAAGGCAAATGTCCTTGAGTCTCCTTAGCAACATACTCTGTTCCAAAGGCCAAAAATGTTGAAAGTATTTGGCAGCTTTTATCTAATCCTTAAAAGATTTTAGGGTGACCTTTTCAGAGAGGGGAATGTTAGACTAGCAAAGAGTCCCATTTAAAAAAATAAAAAGATGGCCAGGTATGGTGGTGACGGCTGTAGTCCCAGCACTACAAAGATGAAAGAGTGCATGATGTGATCAGAAAAATGTGATGGGGAGATATGGGTGTTAGGGTTCCAAATAGCAGCCCCTCCTCTCCCCAACAGGGACCTACAGACTTTGGAGCCTGGAAAAGGGAACTTAGCTGATAAGCACCTTGACCTTTGAGGTCAAGAAGAACAAACTCTGCTGAGAAGCAGCCTGCCTTTCCTCTGACCTCCAAAGATAAGATAAGCAGAGTTCCTCTTATCTTAAGAGGAAAAAGAAAACACTTCCACACCCTAATCCTACCTGCTTCCCCCTCCCTGATTCCACACCCTAAAGCCCCCATATGTAAAGTCCCAGCTCACAACCCATGAGAGGACATCTTTCCCTTCACGGACATCATTCCCTTCCCTTCCCTTCCCTTCCCTTCCCTTCCC